CCCTGAGCTGTCACCATTTCTTTCTTCCACGATCTACAAGCAACAATAATAAACAAATAGCAATAATCGAAGAACAAACAATCACCGATGAAGAATCATATTTAATTGACTTAAATCATCATATCAAGAATACAACGAAATGGGAAAAAATACCATATGTTGCATCGAATATCCAAAGCATGGTCGAATATTTAATGAAAACACCTCAATCCAATGGAATAAAACATATACAAACAACATGGTACGAACCACTAATGCCTGGGGTGGTCGTGGGCGTACTAGTTGCAATTGTGAGTATTTCAATAGTATGTGGATACTTAATATGGATCATGAAAAAGAAAAAACTAACAGAATTAATCAATATGCCAGCAACATGAACAATCTACCGTCAAACAAAAACAAAAAGACATTCTCTAAACCACCTCATGTTTTTGTCATTTTTTTTTTCTTTAACTCATATCATTGTTAACACGTTTGTTTTCTCCTTCGTCTCCTCCTTCAATCATTCTGTAGGAAGTTCTCAACGAGGACACCCTCTCAATACACCAAATGTTGATCCGCTAATTCAAAAAAAAAAAGACGCCCAGGAGTGCGTCTGATCTGGATCGGGGGGTGTGACAACATTTGTGTATTCATCAATTAATCTATCAAACACAGATAGATGACTCATGTATATATGTATTATCATCCTCTCCTTTCTGTTCATTATATCCATGCATCTCGTCTCATAGCGAGTTGATCTTCATCAGTTCATCGAATGATTCTTTTCTCTTCTTCGTGTTTCTCTCCATCCGTCTCTTTCTCTCCCTGTTCTCTCTTGACCGATGCGCTAAAAAAGAAAAGAGAACAGAGGGAACGGATATAAAAGGAAATGTTTGGTTGAAACAAAATCAGTCGAATCACCTTGAATAAAGTTTGTCGTTACACTTCCAACGAAAAACTGACCCGAAAAATATCAAAACGAGACCCAGCAGTTGGAGGATTGCTAATCCGATTGCAATCCTTAGCGAAAAAGTCAGTCGGAGATGTATAAGTATATTATTCATGTGGAGCTAGTTGCAGATCCTGGGAAGGCCTGTATCCGTTTGTGTTTTTGCTGATACGAATATGGATTCTGATAGTACCAGATCGTGGGTTTTTGTTAGTATGGGATCTTATCTTGTATCGGCGTTCGACTGGTGCGTTTAGTGATTATTTCGGATTTCCCTACTTTTCCGTCTGAATTCGTTCTGGAATCCTGCTTCCATGAAATGTACGCAAAAATCTGGCATCGGACGGTTCCTGGCTGGACTTTTTGGCATGGGGCAGATTCAAAAATTATAGAGTCCGACGGGCTCCATTTCCCATATTCACCCTTACCGTCAAGATGGAGCTTATTAAGGATTCTCTGGTATGTTCCGAGAATCTCGAGAGAGCTGCGTAAAAATGATGCATAAATGCTCTTAATTCTGAGCCTCGGCTCTAAAGATTTTTTTTCAGTTCTTGAGCAGCGCTTTTTTCGTAAAATTTTCTGGATACCGTTCGCATCTGTTTAGGTTTCGATTTATGTTTTAATCTATTTTTTTCGGATTCCTATGTTCATCGACGCACGATCCAATGAAATCATGCTAACCAGAATGAGCTTAGCCATCCATGTAGAAGAGAGATATGTACGCCAATCCGATCGTTGCATTCTACCGAATCAGTTTCGATGATTTTTTTTTTGTTTTACGACTCTAGAAATTCTCGTTCACCTCAAAGAAAAATTGACTATTTGGCTGTAGTTAGCCACAAAATATTAGAAAAACAAAACAAAACAATTTGTTTCTGTCGCAGCTCGCGGAAGAGGATCCAGCTTTTTCGTCCTAACTCTGTCCTGTTGAGGCCAATTTTTATAATCAGAAGAACAACCATAACTTTCGTTAGAGTCCTGAGTTCTTTTATTCAGCGAATTTTCCTGTTTTATCATAGCAGTTAGTACATTTTTTTAACTCCCGAAAGAGGCTGATCCGGTAAAAAGTGAAGCGCAAACTTTTTTGTACAAGGTAAATTTCAGTTTTATTGAGAGAATGTAGAACTATGCATATGCCAGGATAGTCTCACTCAAACAGGTTTTGTTTCAAGACGTGTTGTTGAACATGCTATGATTCGATAAGATGGAATACCTAACACATAGGCACTGACTGCAAAACAATGAGTGTATGACACATAAAACCAAAGCGCAGAAACTTTGACTCTTATATACTCCNGAATGTAGAACTATGCATATGCCAGGAAAGTCTCACTCAAACAGGTTTTGTTTCAAGATGTGTTGTTGAACATGCTATGATTCGATAAGATGGAATACCTAACACATAGGCACTGACTGCAAAACAATGAGTGTATGACACATAAAACCAAAGCGCAGAAACTTTGACTCTTATATATTCCGTACTACCTTGTTCAATAAATTAAGTTCTTTTCCTTTTTTATATAAGCGATAAAATAATAAACCCTTGCTCCACCACAAAAGTTCGAATCTACAGTCGGTTGGAACTGATTATTTCTCCAGTAATATTATACTGGACACTTTGGAAGTGTCACTTCTAGACGGATGCATCCAATTAGTTGGAAATATTCGATTTCTGCTTCTGATTTATTATTTGTAGATTTTCTTACATCTTGTCTGTTCAATGAAGTTACTCACCTTTTTCTATATTTCATGGCGTTAAAAAGTTTACTTTTCACTTTTGAATGTATATACATTATCGAAAGCTGTTAACATTTCTGTACGGATTCGAAAAAGTTCATACAATTTCTAGAAATGTTTGAAGTGTAACATCGTTTGTCGATATTTGGATACGTAAGAATATTTAATGTTATGGCGAACTTCGAAATGAAATGACATCCAGTGTCCTAATACAAATCGAATTCATTTTGTGGAATCTGTCCCATAAGTAAACGTCCAAGTCGACGAATGATACTTGGCTTGCGCGATTCGGGTGGGGTTTGTGGTTTGAGTTGTGGTTCAAAGAATCTTGCAATTCTTCGCCACCGTCCTCTCCGTGTCTTCACATACGTGGTATTTTCGGCCGGCATGTTGTAGTTGAGGACGTTTCTTTGCGCACGTTCTGTGCCGCCCGGTGTGGCTCCATGTGGTTCGGCGTTAGTGTTAATTGGTGGATGAGGGCGGGCACCTTTTATCTCTGTTATGTTACTAACAGATTTAGATCTCTGTTTTCGTAAAACATTTGGTCGTGAATGCCCACCCTCACCGTCGTCGCTTGCCGTTTCCTCCCACATGGAACCACGGGCAGCACGTCGACGTTTGTATTCTAGAGCCTCTTCTTCTTTTCGCCGGCGCATATAATCCTTGAGAGGTTCGCGAACAGTTGGAGTGTCCACAATAGCGCCTCGAGATAGATGCGTCATGGATGCGTCGGATCCAGAAAATGTCTCTGAGTGGCAGCCGCTCTCTACCGGAAATCGCTCTCGGCTCTCATCAGCCGATGCGTCTAAACATCGAGAAGAGTTTTCAAAAGCGTTGCTACAAACCTTGTCTCTATTACTCACCGTGTGGAAACGGTGCTTGTGAACCAGTACCAAGCTGAATTTCCGCGCCGCGCGCTTTAAATTCATTGAGTTGCTCCATTACGACTTGGTGTGCTTTCAGTTTTTCAAGTTCGCTTGCATCAGTCTTTTTATCCTTAATAGAAGTGTTATCAGATGTGATTATAAGTGATTCGCTATCAGCATTTTACCGTGATTCCAGGAATANCGGTATTTGTTAACATTTGCATCATTCTTTGGACATGAGAATTGTCGACATTTAAAAGTGCCACATTTGAAAAAATTGAAAAGAACTGGCGAACCTTGAGTCAACCATATACATAGATATTGACCTCTATTATTCTTGTGCGGTTTCGAGGACTTTCAATATAAGAGTGTCTGGTCTGTATTTTCGTTATAAACATGAATTCACTCTACTGAATTGGTTTTCCTCCTCATGTGTATTCGTGCGTTTCGCAATAAGTCGTAGTATTTTCAATTTGTCATCAAATGCATAGCGGACTAAATGTGTACGTTACGATTGCTTATTCTCAATCATATTTGATAACTCAAGAGCATATGGCTAAGGCACAATTGAAAGACTGCTGGTTTGTAACCCATAAGAGTATTTTCCTTGCTAGGAAAAGTGATACTTGATTTGTTCTGGCATAATTTCGAACGAATGGATGTGAATTGCAAGTTTTATGACGAGGTGTTTCGGTCATGTTTTCAAAAGACAGTTGCTCATGTGGGTTTCAGTATTACGTTGTCACCTCTTTCTACTCTATCAATGCACACCTTCTCTTTGTATTCTCTTGCATGACTCTTTCACTTTCGAAAACATTCAAATATTATTCAATCATTGATAGTTGTACCTAGTTCAAACTTCCAAACGACTTGACTTTTACAATCGGAATCATTGAAAATTAGTTATATGTAGTAGTTCAAAGCTGGCGTGGTCATAATACGTGCTATGTGTTGTTTTTCTTTCGCATTTACTTGCGGATTTCTGTAAGCTGAAGAAGACGAGTAGATAATATAGCGTTTACAGAAAGAGACCGCGTGCTCATCATACTATTATGGGCATACGAAACTCAACAAAATGAGTAGAATATATATATTAGAATGAAAATATATCACTGCGACATTCACAGTGCTTAGTAAATAAACAAATACACTCTATTTTTACCTATCGCTTATATTTCTGTTTTCTTATTCCTCAACACATTTTCGATGGTGTCTTGTTATGCAACAGTATGCCTGTATCTTGCTTCGTTTACAATACGTCGTGGATTTCCTTCTTTTGCGATGGTCACCCTTTGGTTTTGAGAGTATAAGTCATAGTTTCCCCCAATGACATACTATTGGCATTTTTCAAAAGCGTTCGCGATATAGAAGTCACGCCTCTCTTGTGATCACACTGTTATATACAGGATGGACAGATTGCACTATCTACACTAGGATGTCATTAATAAACAAACGCTCTCGTTAAATGTTGTCTCTTTTTAGATCAGTTTGTGCTTTCGAAAGGATAGGTAGTGGTCAGATTCTAGGCTACTTACTATCTAGACGGTGGAAGACTTTTCCAAACTGTTCCTTTTATTGGATTGTACAGTGCACCGCGAGAGGTCTCATGGCGATCGATAAATATCTTTCCGTCTGTTGTTTGCAGCATATGCAGACTACAGACTGAGACTTCAAGTTATAGCAAATCGCGCAATACGTCAGTTTGTGTGAATCCGTAGGAAATATATCACTTGGAACACGACCTTCCCCGAATATGCTCAAGCTATCTGGGTTTCTCGAACCGATGAATTGATGATAGGTCGATAGTTGAGCTCCTAACAAATGAATCTCATATGCGAGAAGTTCGTTGAAGAAATATAGATTTATTCTATACCAACATTCGAAATTGAGGGGAGCTCTTGCTCTTTTTAAATATGTACCAACTGATATAGTATGGAAGAGTTATACTAAAAATTGAAATTTTTTACCGTGAGGGTGTTTTTTTCTCTATGTCATAACACCAGCTAGCAACTGTTCTACTTTTGCTGGATGAAACACAAAGACGAAGTGTATACAAAAAACCGGAGAAAGGTAATGTGCGGAAATATCTGTTGGTTTCTTTCGACTGGTTGATTGGAACTTATTAGTGGTGTAACCAAGAGCGGACTAGGTTGAGCATTACTCAAGTACCGGTCATTTCTGAAAAACTAGGTTTTTGTGAAGGTGGACGTAATAAAATAATGATTTTTCATATTCACTCCTATAAGGATAGTGATATCGTTCGTCTCTTTCTGTTCTTTATTCTCTCACCTCTAAATCATACTTTCTCCGGGTCATCTCTCTCTCTTTCCTATATAAGCGCGTGTCTTACTGTGAAACAGGCACATTCTGGTCATGTAGAGTAGGCAATAAACATCTACACATTGAGAAGCGGTTAGCTACTCAACCAGATTGCCGTTACAACTCCTGCATTTTCTTAGATATGATTGACATGTATAATGAGTTCAAGGCAAAAGAAACTGACTTGTACTAATACAAGTCAGTTTGAAATCATCGAAGATCACCGTAAAGTTCTGACCATTTTGAATGATTTTCGATGAGCTATGCTGATGTCAGAGAAATCATCAGAGTTCACTAGGGAGTACTAGAGCTAATAAAATCGACAAATCCACTTGTCTTCCGTTGATCTCATTGAAGTAAAAGTATGTCATATACATATTTTTATTAAACGAGTGAGATATCATTTTCTAAACTATTTTGAAGATACATACACAGGGAAGAAAAAGCGAAGTTCCCGCGATTTAAAATTCTGAAAAATATTCGGAGCCATTTGAATAAACTTTAGTTACTCTGAACGTTGTCTAGCTTTGATTCAGACGTACATAAGAATTATATTTGTTTTTCATAGTAGACACTAGTCGGAAACGACAAGCTCACTAAATAATATTTCAACCGGAGATAAAACGGGTTTTTAGGTTCTTCCACATTTCCTAGTTTTTGTAAGAGTTTTTTTATCTTCTGGGATGTCTATGAATTTTTTGAAATATTTTTGGTTTTTCGAATATACGGGTTCTCACGCGCACCTTTTTTTCTATTAACAATACGAATAGTAGGAATAGTTAAGAGAAAATTCCGAAAACTTGCTTATCTGCTTTTTGTGAAACACGATCTGAAAGCGAGTGGTGACTTATTATAGGTAAACATTCGGACTTATCTCCTTGCGCTAGAGAGTTAACCTTTAGACTCAATATAACCATCAGCGAAGTCACCAACAGATACAATAACCTCCTGTCAAGTTGTTGCATAAAAACTTAATCAGCAGCCACGCTAAGCTTCGGCCGGGTTGTCTAGGCCCTATTTTTTCTCGGATCGTTCCTAGGCTTATCGGGTTTGGGGCAATTCTGCGAGACTTTTTACCTAAATGACAAAATATTACAACGTGCTGTTGGACGTCCAATGATATTATTCATATATCGTTTTGACATGTGCTTGAACACATCTCTGGCAGATTCGCACAAAACCCACTTTGAAAAAGGCCGTAACAGATTTTCAAATACGGAACGAGTTTAGGGTTTGAGGGAAAAGGTTTCATCTCGTCCTTCATATAGGTGATCGTCATACAAGCAGACTAACTACCAAACCCCATGACAACAAACACACTAANTTCAAAACTGTTCCTTTTATTGGATTGTACAGTGCACCGCGAAAGGTCTTACAAAGATTGATGAATATGTTTCCGTCTTTTGCTTGCACCGCATGGAGGCTACACACTGAGACTTCAAGTCATAGCAAATTTCACAATACATCAGTTTCAGTGAATCCGTAGGAAACTTATCACTTGGAACACGACCTTCCCCAAATATACTTAAGCCTTCAGGGTTTTTCGAACCGATGAATTGATGATACACCGATAGTTGAGCTCCTAACAAATGAGTCTCATATGAGAGAAGTTCGTTGAAGAAATATAGATTTATTCTATACCAACATTCGAAATTGAGGGGAACTCTTGCTCTTTTGAAATATGTAACAATTGGTACGGTATGGAAGAGTTATACTAAAAATTGTAACTTTTTACCTTGAAGGTAATTTTTTCTCTATGTCATAACACTAGCTAGCAACTGTTCTACTTTTTCTGGATGAAACACAAAGACGAAGTGTATACACAAAGCCAGAGAAAGACAATGTGCACGAATATCTTTCGGTTTCTTTCGACTGGCTGAATGGAACTTATTAGTGGTGTAGCCAAGAGCGGACTAGATTGAGCGTTACTCAACTACCGGTCATTTCTGACAAACTAGCTTTTTGTGAAGGTGGACGTAATAAAATAATGATTTTTCATTTTCACTCTTATAAGGATAATGATATCGTTCGTCTCTTTTTGTTCTTTATTCTCTCACCTCCAAATCATACTTTCTCCGGGACATGTCTCTCTTTCCTCTTTTCTATATAAGCGCTTGTCTTATTGTGAAACAGGCACATTCTGGTCATGTAGAGTAGGCAATAAACATCTATACCTCGAGAAGCGGTTAGCTACTCAACCAGATTGTTGTTATAACTCCTGTATTTTCTTAGATATGATTGATCTGTATAATGAGTTCAAGACAAAGGAAGCTGACTTGTACTAATACAAAGCAGTTTGAAATCATCGAAGATCACCGTAAAGTTCTGACCATTTTGAATGATTTTCGATGAACTATGCTGATGTCAGAGAAATCATCAGAGTTCACTAGGGATTACTAGAGCTAATAAAATCGACAAATCAACTTGTCTTCCGTTGATCACATTGAAGTAAAACTATGTCATATACATGTTTTTATTAAACGAGTGAGATATCATTTTCTAAACTATTTTGAAGATACATACACAGGGAAGAAAAAGCGAAGTTCCCGCGATTTAAAATTTTGAAAAATATTCGGAGCCATTTGAATAAACTTTAGTTACTCTGAACGTTGTCTAGCTTTGATTCTGACGTACATAATAATTGTATTTGTTTTTCATAGTAGACACTAGTCGGAAACGACAAGCTCACTAAATAATGTTTTAACCAAAACGAAAAACGGGCTTGAGGATTCTTCCGCATTTCCTAGTTTTTGTAAGTTTTTTTACTGTTCTGGGATGTCTACGAATTTTTTAGAAATATTTTGTCTTTTGGAACATTTTCGAATACACGAGTTCTCACGCGCACCCTTTTTCGATTAACAATATGAATAGTTGGAAGAGTTAAGAGAAAATTCCGAAAACTCTCCTA